TTATTGTTAAAATTTAATAATTTACATTAATTTTATTTTTGTAACATGTATGTTGTATATTTGATAAATTCCCTTGTGCTATATATATATGTATGTAATAATTAACTATAAGCCTTAAATTATTTTTAAAAAAAATGTATATTATAACTATATAGTAATATCATATATTATTATCCTGAGTACTCGACAGTGAAATGACTAATGAGTACCAAGAAACACTACCTACTGAATTGATAGACAACAAAATATTATTGTGCTGACGTCTAACATCCACTTAAAACTCTGCAATGTGATCCATGATTTAATATATTTTTTATCAACGAGTACCTACATCGTTGTTTTAGCTACCGAAGTAAGTTGCCTGAAAATAATAATGTTATCAGTAGGTAATATAATAAAAGCTATAGTACACAGGTACACATACAGACGTACACGTGATGTAGGTGTAATAACCTGCTACTCTACAATGCAAACAATAAAATATTTTAGATCCCAATTTATCGAATTAACTTTAAGTAGCGTTGAGTATAATTATATATTATATAATATATGTATTTATAATCAAATTGGCACTCTAATAGTATTACAAAATTCTATGTATCCAGGTCAAAACGTTTCAGAGTAAATTAGTAAAGACCATACTCAATTACCTATGTCGGTAATATATATCAGGGGTGGGTGATTCAAAATTATTAAAGCGCCAATTTTTAGAAAATTAAAATCTAGCGGGCTAGAACATAGAAAGCAAACAAGGAAAAAAAATTATCATTCAAAATATGGATTTTAATTAATATTTATTTTGTTTATACCTAACGTGAATTTTTAACTTGGAAATTGTATGATGTAATTTTAAAATATAGCAAGAGTCTGATAAAAAAGGCTCGCGGGCCGCCAATTGTCCACCCCTGATATATATATATATATAATACGAAATAAATACAGTCGAACTTGGTTATCTCGAACTTCTTTAACTCGAAATCGTCGATATCTCGAATTTTTTCTCCGGTCCCTAAAATTTCCTATTTAAACAATGTAAAAAAATCTTGTTTAACTCGAATTTTTTCGTAGATAACTCGAAGTTTTGTGTTTTATTAAAACAACAAAATTGTGATATTTCCGTCGTGTACCTATATATATATTTTAATATAGAAAATAAGGTCATTACTCATTAGTGTTGTCGTTACCGATAAATGGTTTAAAACGATTCATTACAAATGTTGCGATCAACAGCAAAACTTAAACAAAAATAAACACCTTTTTGAAATAATTTTCTAAACTCATTTCTATTTATACATAGATACATGCCTCTTTAAAATTACATTTACATAATTCATATAATATAAATACACAGTAAATATTTTTTATTACACTACTTTATTCATAATAAATATTTAGAAATTTATATATTTTGTACTATTTTAAAAAATTTCAATTTAAATAACTCAAACTTTTTTCCGGTCCCTTCAACTTCGAATTAACTAAGTTCGACTGTACTTATATTTTTAATTATTTATTGTTTATATATATACCTATGTAATTATATAGCTTTTTTTAATAGCTTTTAAATAAAATAAACTTTATTGTTTACATTGATTGTACAATATTATGTATATTTATTTTTTTGTCATTTTTGTAGTAAAAAAAATATTTTGATCTTTAATCTCGAGGGTGATTTCTATTAACTGGTAGAAAATTAAATCTAGTTGGTACTTTATTTTTTGAGAGGAAGTCATCAATAATTAAAAATTCCATTACTTTTCTTAATCATTGTTGACAAATTGATTTTATTATTTTGTCGTTTTTCAGAAACAATAGTAACTGTTTACTCGTTAACTTACCTACTTTACTGTTAAGTAAATACTTGAAATATTCAACATAAATTAATCCCGTTAAAAAATTCTCTAACTTGGTATAATTTTCAAAATAGTTTAGCTATTTTTTCATTTACATTTGAAATTGACTACTTAATAATTTCCTTTAATTTTTTTCTGTAAATACTATTACAAAATAAAACTTTATGTTCGAACAAAAATCTATGTGAGTCGTACTATATACACACAATTTTAGGGGCTAGTTTATCTAATTGTTAGCATAAATATTGCATAAGTTATTTAATAGCTTTTTTGTCATAGAATTTTACTATAGGTAGATATATCTCATATCCCATTTATTATTTCATATACCTACTAATATTACTAACCATAACTTATAAACCATTACCGCATACCGTAGAATAGTGTGGATAGATTTGAGGAATAAATAGCTTAAAATTAATCTAAACATTATGAACATTACATTATGTATAAAAAAATAATATGTGTAATGGGAAAAATGTTCAAGTCCCAACACACAATTACATACATTTTTTCATTACTTAAAAATAAAATAAAAACCTAAGAGTAAAAAACGTTTTTTTTCATTAAAGTAGATACATAATTTCATTAAAATTTAAACTTTAAAGCTTATAAAAAAAATTATGCAATGTATAAATATTCCATTTTTCATATATTTTTTTTTAGTCTCTTCTAATTATTTTGGAAAATATTCGGAATCTAGTAATTACTAGAAGTATAATAATATTTATTTTTTTTTTCGGAAACCACCCTCAAAATTAATAACTAAAGTATTTTTACTGTATTTAAGGTGACGTCGCGTCATGATCAGATACGCAGCTACAAAATTATATATAATTTACATCATCATTAAGTCAATATATTCATCGATCCGCTCAAAACCTAAGATACTTAATTAAAATACAAAATTAGATAGATGAGTAATGGTCCCGAAGAGCGTTCATAGATAGACAAATAAGTTTTTGAAATATCTTTTTTTATGTTTATTTTTATTCAAGTAACTATTTTGAAAAGAATTTAAAGATATTTTTTTTTTAAGTTGGCACACATTGCATGCAAGGTAATGCATGAAATATAACGTGTAATGACAGATGAACAAAAATTACTTATTTATAAGACTGTAATGTAAAGAAAGAGGTGGTTAATGGAGAGGGTGAGAGAGAAAATAGAGAGGAGAATGTGTGAAAGATTGTAAAATACACGTCGTCTTGTGTTTGTTTACCTATCTGGCTATCTAATTTCCCGTTATATATACTATAATACTATGTGGTATATACATTGTACAAAGACCTACTTCTGATTTCTTTTATTATATCACGTCGGTGGCACCACATTAATGAATTATTTGACTCGAGAACTCAGAGTTTTGGCATCATGCGGTATATACCTATAATAATTACAATACAAAATATAGTGATACAACCAGTGTACTGAAGGTTAAATTATTTGGGTAAATAACTTTTATAATGAAATAGGTACTACTTACGCGAGGTAAATCGACAATATATTATATTATAACGGTTTTATTATCAATATTTTTAATAAGTGCCTAATTATTAAATATATATATTATAACTTATGTTTTTACATTTTTTTCAATAAAGTAGCTCATTTAGTAGGACTGATTTTTCTAAAGCAAACAATCTTAAAATCATTAATCTTTATTAAGTATTCATATATGATTTTAAAAAATAGATTTACAATTTTTAAAATTCAAATTATTTACTCAGATTCTTTCATATTACAAACATTAATTTTAATTTAGATGTATGATTATAACAGTCCATTACTAACAAATGTTTTCTCATTAATTTAATTCAATATTACACATAAATATTGCAAATATTGTAAAATTTGAGCAGAGCGATAAATGTAGGTATTCAGTTTACAATGATTTGTGTTTTTTTTTTTGTCTGTATGAATACATAATAAGTTGTCATTAAATACTTCGATTTTTAACTTTGAGGATGATTTTGGGTAAGAAATTGGATTTAATTTGTACCGGTACCTTAAAAAGGTAAAAAAATATGTATAAGTATCTAAGTACTTTTTTTATTATTAAAAAAGACAACTACAAAATTAAGCAAAAATGAAAATTTTTATCGTTGATATAATGGTAATTTCTTACTTTCTTTTACTTTCTTTTTGATTTTTGTTGTAATTCAAAAACAAATAAAACAGCATTATTTGAAATTTTCACAAAATATTTATATTATTATTTTTGGTAAAAAATTATTAATTTACCTAATCAAAATTCTTAAAGATTTAATATATAACATTTAACATAAGTTGTTCATATATCATTTTAAAAATATTAAGAATACATAGTTACATTATTCTTTTATAAGCATTTAAAAATCGTAAAAAATTGTAAACTCATAGAAACTCTTAAAAATTCATGAAAATCTTTTTTTATATTAAATTTTGAAAGTATTGTATAAGATTTATCACGAGTAATTTATGTATTGAATCATAAAATTTAAAAAATATATAATGTAAATTATTTTTTATAGACCTTTTATGTTCAAATCCGAACGAAGTTATATGTTATAACAATAAACAACTGTATTAATTATATTGTTAAAATTTAAAATGATTATTTGTGGAACTTGAAAATTTTACGAAAGTATTTTATATTATTATGCATTTTACTATATCTACCCAATGACATTTTTGATTTATTTTAAGATATTATATATTATTTATACTCTGAACCAATTTTTACTGTTTTTTAGTTCTTAAAAAAAGATGTTATTAAATTTTGAGTTACATAAGTTGATATATGATTATAATATGATATATTAATGTATGATTATATATTATTATTAAATATTAATATTAAAATAAAAGCAATATTTTTGGAGACAATAAAGTTATATTAATCTACCATAATACTAAAAGTAGTAAAATAAATGACAATAAAAGTCAAAACTCAACAACAAAACTCATTGAACCATATTATAAAAATTAAAAACTAATCTATTATCTAATTTTTGTAAATATGCGTAGTAATGTTTCTAAAAGTGGATCATAGATGGCGTTATGCTGAAGTTAAGTTGATTAAAATCTCATCTCGTTTCCAATCATGTATATTATCATATTATTATCACGAACTAAGATAATATAATATAATACTTTTAAATTTATAACGATGAAAACATAACACAGAAATATATTTAGACAATAGAAATAATTCGATTTAGTATTATAGTTTTAACTTTTTGGGGAAAGTACCTGATGTTCAACGTGACGTGTAGTAGAAATAAATAGTATGTTAAATACTCAAATCCAGTAATCACTACTTTAGAGGTTTGTGTTTGTATTTCAAATCGTTGTGGCGGTTACTCCGATGATCTTTTATTATTTCAATTTTTTTACACCTAGTTGTTTTAATAAGTTTAATACATGTGCAATCTGTATTATAGGTAAACCGTTTTTATGCGATTATGGACATTTCCAAAAGATGTAGCTGCAGCTGCTGCGACCAATGTATGCAACACCCAACATTCCATACAATCCAAAAATTGTGCAACATCAAGTGCTTAGATCACTTAACTACACTAGATATAAGTTCTAGTAGTATCTGTGAAGTACCTGAATTTATCGGGAATCTTATAAATTTGGTTAAACTTGATTTATCGTCAAATGAATTGAAAACGCTGCCATTATCACTTATCAAATGTCAACACTTAACAGATCTCATTTTGTCATATAATCAATTTTCACAAGTTCCCCAATGTTTAATTGATGGAGTGCACTCTTTAAAAACACTTGATTTATCTCACAACCAGCTTGTAGATATCAGCATAAAACCATTTAGTATTCAACAGTTACTAACATTAAATGTCAGTAACAATTCAAAACTGAATACTCTTCCACAATGGTTATGGTCAATTGAATGTAATTCATTAGAATCATTGGATATATCGTTTACAAATTGTCTAGATAATATTGCTGTAGATCCTTACCTAAACATGTATGGTATTAGTAATCACCTAAAGTATTTGTATTTATCCAATACAAATTCTGATATTCGCAAGATAGAATTTATCAAAAATTTAAAAAATCTAAGAAATGTTGTTTTAGATAACAAAGATACAAAGATTAGAAATTGTCGTAATTACTATCATGATGTACCACTAGTGTTTAATTATCGATTTAAATTTATTGATTCTTTAAGTATGATCGATGTTGATTTATCAACTATTGGAAGTTGTGTATATTTCAGTTTTCCAAGTATACGGTTTTTGAATTTATCCAATAATTCTATTGTATTACTACCAGATTCATTTAGTGAATTGATAAACTTAGAAGTCTGTGATGTTTCAAATAATCAAATTTTATCAATTCCTGAAAGTTTTAAAAGCTTGAAAAATTTGAAAAGTTTGATATTAAATAATAATTGGGTGAATATGTTTAAAAAATTGTAAATAAATATTTAATCTATTTTAATTAAATATTTTTTTTTATTAGTTATCAACATTTCCAGAAATTATTGAAGACCTATTAAACCTAGAAATTTTGGATTTATATACTAATAAATTAACTATATGTCCATCGTGGAACTCAAACTCTAATATAAAATTACTTGATTTAGAACAAAATGCATTTTCTACTGAAACTAATATTGATATAAACACTAAAGTAAGTATTACTATATTAATATAATACTGTGATAGATCTATACTTATTGTACATTTTTTTTTTCAGTATAGATTGTATAATATCCTAGATAAAAAATAAAATAAAAAAAAACTGTGATAGATCCAGATTCTATGTTACAGACATTATTTATAATAAGTAGATATAAATAAATTAAAAAATATTATTAAACCAATATTTTAACATGTACTTTTAAAGTTAACTTGCTTGGACTAAATAAAAAACTTTTTGATATTTTGTGTTTTTTATGGTTCTTTTAATGTAGTATTATTTGTTAATAGACTAATGTCCAAAAATATTAGTAGAACTAGAAGCTTATAGATATTAGTTTGAAAAAATAAACTTATTCTTGTTTTTGAGATTATACTTTGATATTAAATTGATTTAATTATTTAAATTATAAATTAATAATAAGCACATGATAAAATCAGAATTTATTTACAAATAATTTTTAAAATTTTCCCTGTAAATCGTGTATTTTTGATTTCTATATTATTTTTAATACTTTTCTGGAAATCTTCTAACTATGTTTTGAGATGTAACCTTTTCTATTATATTGTCAATAATTAATTTGTTATTTTTTTTCTTAATAGGCCAATTATTCAAATTTGTTAAAAAATCTGCGCTCATCAATTGCTGAAAATCGTGTTATAGGACCTTTATGTTTTGAAGAACCTAATGATGCAGTATCTGAAACAGACAGTTCAAGTAAGCATGTTTCACTCATATTAAATTTTTTAGTTTTAAATATTGTTTTATTTTATAAATGTATTTTCAAATAATTATTTATTTAGGTAGTCATTGGTCAAATCTCAGTGATTCTGAACACAGTGATCATGAACTAGTAAATATAAGGTATTTATATAATTATTAATAATTAGCTAAAATAATAAATTATTTTTATGAAACACTTAATAAAACTTTGAATTATTTTTGATACATCAATCAGTAGACAGTAGTTATAACTTAATAAGTATAAAATAGTTTAAACTATAATTATAATAAAACATTAGGTTGCTTTTAAACATGACTAGTATGAGTTTATTATAAATACTAGATTTATGTATTTATCTTCTTGGATATACTTTAATTTTTAAATGTTTTTTATATGATTATGATGAAATTGCTACCTTTATGTAAACAAATTGCACCTAGTAACTGAAATTTTAATTGATAGACCCTATCACTGAATTTCCAAGTATTAAACCATTAGATATTGTATTAAACTACTTAATATTTTGATTGAATCCTAAAGTTTATATTACACTTCCAAAATTTAAATCTAAATACACATATATTTCCAATAAATGCTAAGAGAATATTAAAAAAAAAATTGTTGTCTTATCAAATAAAAAACAAAATTTCCATGTTTAAGAAAATTTTAATTCTAAACAAGCAAAACAAAAAAATATATTATTTAATTAATAAATATTCTGATGTATTTTGATATAAAATTAATTTTATCACAATTAAAATTGTTCTCATAAAATGTATTCAACTTTAATAATTATTGTTTAAATTGTCAATCACATTTTTGTAATAGTAACAATAAATATTTTAATATTTTCAGGGAAGTCCAAGATAATACTTGTTGTACACCAGAAGAATTTTGGGACTGTGATGTCTATGAATTTACAACTGACTTATTTGATCCAAAAAGTTATTGTTAAACTTAGTAGTTCAATTTTATAGCAAAATATTTTTATTTTTTTGTATTTAATATGATTTTTGTTTTTATGAATTTCAGGTTTTGAATTGATTTTAATGAAAGAATTAACAACTTTAGAAAAATCGTTATATGTTGATGAAAATATTGTCCGTAATGTTCGTTTAGCTAATGAACATTATTTTTGCCCTAATGATGAATTACCTAAATCGTTGTGAACTAGAACTTAATTGTTAAATATAATTTGTAAGTGTTTTTTTTTTTTCAACATAATCCATTTAGTCTAATCATGCACATATTTAATAAAACCCTTTTAAACGTTGTTAAAACTTATCAAATAATTGTTGATAGTTCACTATGTAAATTTAATTTATTAAATTGTTTCAAAATAAATTTACAACATCTAAAGACAACTTTAGCTTAATAGCTTTATATTATTAATATTATGAATAACATTTATTTTTATAAATAAAATTACTGTAATTTTTTAAAGTATATTAATTATTTTAATCTATATTTTTACTTATCTCAACATTTTTTTCCCTTTTTTTATTATTAATTAATTCACGGCGAAAGTAATCTTTTACACTAGCATAAATATAACTAAAAAAGCATAAAATGTTTTGACATTGTTTGACTCTTTCAAAAACAAAATTAAATTTTTTTCTGAACTTCCCTATTAATCAATTTATTGCACAATATATTTGTAGAAGAAAGTTGTACATTATATTACTATCTTAATAATAATAAATTTAAATTTAAATTTTAAAGATAACTGGACCTCATTCAAAAATATTTTGAAGAAAGATATCATATTAAATGTATACACCAAATACAAATTTAAAGACTGAAGACTACAACAATGTTTTTGAAATTTAATATTTAATATTGACGTATGTATGGTAAATATTCAATAATTACATTTATAACTCTTGTTCTTTGCATTTAAAAAAAAAAAATAATAAATACAATTTATATTGAACTAAGTATTAAAATATATTATTTTATTTAATAATAATACTCCTAGTTAACTTTAATGTAGTTATATTTTATACTTTGTATCAATAAAATTATATAGTAATATAGGTATGATCTATTATAAATTTGGTATGTATCTAGTACATTTATTTTTAAATATAATCAAATTATGTTATATAATAAAAGTAGTAACCTACTACTACTATTATTATTATTATTATTATTGTTATTGTTAAAATAAAACAATATAAAAGTGAGTAATAGATATGGTTTCTTTAGTAATTTATTAGAAAAACATAATAATGCGTTAACGGGTAAAAAAAAATATATGTGATTAATCCAATTCCAATAACTAAAGTACCATTAAATTCTTTCATATTAACATTAAACATAATATATCTATACTGTATTTAAGAAAATTAAGGAAAACTACTTCTTAAATTTATATACATATTTAACAATTATGTACATTTTAACTTAAAATATTACACTTGTTAAATAAATTAAGAATGTATATTACAAGATTTACTTAAGTATATGTTAATTTGTTTTACAATTAGATTTCAGGAAGATTAATCATAAGAAGTTTAATGTGTCTATACTTCATATATTATTATTATCTGTTGTTAAAAAAAGTAGATATGATTCAAATTTCAACAATACCTATTAATATTGGAGTCAAAGAGAGCTTTCCCGTATTTACGTTTAATAATTATTTAACAACCGTAAAACGTTATATTTATTTATCCAAGTTTTAAAACTATCTATAAGTAGTAAAAAATATTCGACTCATCAAAACTATTATTTAAATATCAAAATAAATTGAAAATATTCATCAAATATCTATAATAATATTTTAGAAGACACTAAAACCAAATGTGTCTTTGTCATACAAACATACAACATAGTAAATTTTAATTTTGTCTGTTTGATTAAAATATTAAAGTGAAATTATTACTACTATTATCAAACTTAAAGGTAAGAACAAAATCTGTATTTTCTCGGCATTTTTTACGATATTTCAATTTTTAAGGAGTTATGACTTAATGAGTATGTAAAATATTAAAAACATTATAAAACATTTTTTTTTAAATGCTCATAATTCACTTAAAATTTAAAATATCTTAAAAAACCGATGAAAGTATACAGATAATATTATTCCCTTCAAGTTTGAAAATAGGTCATTTCACTCTAGTATTTAAATATTTTAACCTGAATACACAAAATAAGTTGTACCGAACGAAATTTGTCATGTTTTACATTGTATAAAGAAGACAACTCATGCGGGTATCGGGGTGTGCCGGATGTGGCATCCTCATGATAAACATTAAATAATTTTCGATTTTTTAAGTCTATCTATAAGAATATATGGAATTTGTGCAATTTAAAAGTATGATATAAAATGTTTGTTTTTATTTTTAAAAAAAAAACATGAAATTATCATGCAAGGGCCAAGTTAAGTATTTTTGATGCATTTAACGAATAAAAATATCAAAAATATAAATAGTCGCAATTTTTTCTTTTTTACGTTTAAAGTTCGAATTTGTATAAAACTAATAAAATTCACGAACAATTGCAAATCATTTTTTAGTTAAAACTCATTGAAATTTTAATTTTATATACCTTAATAAAACTTGTTAATTCGATACAATCTTCATCATAAGTTCATAATCATTAATTTTTAATTGAGCAAAAAAAATTTATCAAACCTTAAACAAAAAAATGTTAACTTTTACAAATAGCTCAAAATGAGTGTAAATATTTTGAAATGTTAATCATTTATTTTCATCTTTGAGATTGATTTGCAATAAAAAATTGTATTTAGTTGGCAGCATTTTGGTCAGAGGTAAAAATTCCTCATGATTTCCAAAACGATCGGGAAACATCCAGCTTTTGACAAAATAAATCGTAATTTTTAGACATGCGTCAATTATGATACCTACATATATTTTTCTTTGATTTTTTTAGAGCTATTTATAGAAATTTGAAATGTTCAACTTTTTAACAAAATTTTCAATATAATATTATGCGAGTGATTAAAAAGTCGTGAAAAATTCGCGAGATTTTACGAGAGAATTAAAAAAAAAAAAACACATAATGCGGCGGTAAACGTTAGAGAAGGAGAGCAGTGGTTTGGTTCGAGTTGTGACCAAATAGGTACCACGAAACGACGGAACAAGCATAGAGAACAAATGTATTATTGTTACTTATTTTTTTTTTTTATGCTCGAGAGGACGACGGACACGGTTCAAGTCTTTAACCAGAGTCGGCCGTGCTAATGTCGTCGTCGCACAGGAGATGAATAACCGTAAATAATTTCAAGGTCGATTTTTATTTTACATTATAAATCGAAATATTCCACGCGAGCTTTCTTAGCGTTGGCCCGTCCGACAATGAGTCGTCGTCCGTCCGCGGGGGGGATACACCTCGGCTCTCGGATCGTTACGGTCTGACGGCCGTGCGTGGCGGGCAAGGGGCCCCCGTGTCGCCGCCACCGCCCAACACCCGCCCGCCCACGGTGGCGTTGTCCGTGTGTAGCGTACTCTGTGCTGGCGCGGGTCGCGGTGTATTCCACTACGCTGGTGCAGTGCTGCGCCGTCCGCATCGGTCTGGCAGTCGACCGGTAGTCGAGTCACTGTTCTTCTCTCCCGCGTGTCCAGTCTTTCGTCTGCGAAAATCTTAAAGAAAATTATAGCGCAACACGTCCGACACACACACACTATAAATAATGGCAACCGGTAAGCGATATACGTCACACTCTATTAAAAATAACCACGGCATTTGTCAGTGTTGTCGCCATTACGCCCACTGCTCTAAAAAGATGATATGCAACAATATACCTATCACGATGTATTTTTCGGGTTTGGAGACCGTGGGGTTAAACATTTTACCGAAATTTTAAGGCCGTTAACGATAATAATAAAATTGTAATAACGATGTACGTGGTAGACTCCTTGGTGGCGATTTATCCGTAGATACGAACGACCGGTCTATTTTCGTTTTGCCAACGTAGGTACCGGCTACTACCTACTCGAATAGCTGTATATAGTGATTTATTTATAATATTATATTATGTCCTATACCTACCTAATGTTGTAGTTTTAGTACCGCTCGAAACTACTTAACTCATTAAACGTATTATTATTGTTAATTTATTTCCTAGTTGCTTACGTTTATTTATGTATATGCTGTCCGTGAAGAATTAAAACGATTTCGTTGAATTTACGTTTTTTTTTTATCGCTCGAGGCCCATGGACTGTGTATACATATATATTTTATACATCGCATTATTTGCATTACTAACAACAATAATTATAAATAATAAGACATAGGTATCTATCGTACCTGTTTTTACTGCTAGATATAATATAAAATATTCTTTCCAGTTTTAGAAAATATGGACATCGCATAATTTATTGCGTACCTACCTAACAAATTATTGTTTCCACTTTCCACAGGTATATCATATTGATTAGGCATATAATGGTTTATTTTGTTCATTACTATATTATAATTCACATTAAATTCTTCAATAAAGTCTTGAACAGGTAATATCAAATGTGTAACTTCTTTAAAAAGTCCATATGTTCCATTTTGATTTCATAGTTTTTACTATTATAGATGATAGTATGATACCCCATTAGTGCTGACATAACAAAACAGTGAAACATTACCATCTGTTTAGTGTTTAGTACCTAGACATGGTTATTATTTTTTAGTTATTACTTATAAACCTAGAATAATACTTTATTTTTTATTGTCATACATTATAGTTGTAAAGTTTTTTTAAACATTTTTTAATGTTATTGGTTATTTTCATGATAGGTACGTTAAGCATTTTTTTGTACATAATTATTCAGTATAAATATTAAACCATAAGTAAAAATAACAAATTAAAAAGTAGCGTTTGAACAGGTTTGCATGTAATGTAATTGCACAGTACATCAATATAGAATACAATTAAGTCCATCAAATCAATATGACTTATACGTTATACATAAAAAAAAGAATAGTTTTAGCATAAAATATTTTTAAAAAACTTTACCCAACATTTTACTATTTATCTTTTTTGAACAAGTGACATAGAAAAATATGTCTGATTATTATTTCTACTTTACCCACATTGGGTCCTTGTCTAAAATTTATAATAATAAATGATAAAATAAAATACTTTAATACACCTTTTATGATCATGCAATTAATTTACCTATTAGAATTAATGATTAATTTTTGTTTTATGTTATAGAAATAACAACAGTTGATAGCCAAGAATATAAATTCAATCCTTTGAATTTTGGCTCCTTGCATTTTACTGTTAAAGCATCAAATGATGCTCATATTGCTTTAACTGCTACTCCAGATAACAAGCCGCCAAAATATGAGGTATCTATAATAGTTTCATATTTATAATTTTGATTTTACTAAGTTAATTTTTAAAAATTAGCTTATTTATGTTTAAAAATATTAATTACATATTATTACTTGTATTTTAATCAGATATTCCTTGGTGGTTGGGGTAATACAAAATCTTCAATACGCAAAAATAATGAAGAGCCAGATAAGGTTATTGTTGATACTCCAAAATTATTAAATGGTGGTGAAGCCAGAGGATTTTGGATTAAATGGGGAGGTGGTTTTATTGGTGTAGGAAAACAAGGAGAAGAAAAACCATTTATGTCATGGCAAGATGAAGAATCTCTAAATGTGTTGTTTTATGGTGTTCGTAGCGGATGGGGAGCTACAGGTGTATGGACTATTGAAGGTTTGTTTTTTTATCATATAATAGCATTAATAACATTAATCAATATTAATTAAATTTAAAATAAATAAATAAATTTATATTTACAATATTGCCTACTACGTAATATAATAATTATAATACCTAGGTATATCACACAAATATAACAATAATAAATAATAATAATGGACATAAAGATATCTTATCAAGAAAAAAATATTATAATTGTATAAATTAAACATAAGTGTTTTAGAATAATTACAAGATTTAAAAAGGATTAAACATTTAAGTATGTAATCCTAGTATTTAGGAGTGGTGTTGGACCGTCTAGGGTACTTCTTATTTAAGAGCACTTGTAATATTTATAATATAATTTTAGTTTTTGGTTATTTAAATGTTAAACTTCACATAATTTTGTTTTTAAAATTGAATTTATATAGATAATATTTACATAAACACTGAAGATAGTAAGGAGTTCATATTTAGAGCTATACTTCATGGATCAATAAGTTTTTCGGTAGATAGTGCTAATGATGCACATATTGTTTTGGCAACTAAAAGTAAAGAATCTGAACCTATGATAGAGGTATTACTTGGTGGCTGGAAGAATACAGCATCTGCCATTCGTTACAACAAACAAACTCCAGATAAGGTTTTAAATTATGTTAATTTGTGCTTCCAATTTAACTCCTCTGATGCTCTTGCTTGATTTGACGTTTTTTACTTAACGATACAAATTTTTGAACTAAATTCATTATACTTATTGTTATATCTTTAATAATAAATTTAACACATTTTCGTATTGTATTTCTGATTAACTCTTATTAACTTATAATGACAATCGTGTTTCATTCGTGTATGATTTTAATAATAGAAGAAATATATTAAATGTATAAAATGATTGATGTGTTTAAAGGTGCACGTTGACACTCCTCAGCTTCTGTGTAAAGATACTCCAAAGAAATTTGTCATTTTTTGGAGAGATGGTGTTTATGAAGTGTTTAGTGAAAAAACTAAACTATTTGAATGGAAAGATTCAAATCCATTTAGCATTTCTCATTATGGAGTTCGTACTTGTTGGGGGGCTGTTGGTAATTGGCACATTCATGGTGCAGCAGATGTTCAATTTAAAAGCCAAGTAGTTCCTACCCCAAAACCAAAACCTTTAAAAGGAAAAGGTTAGGAATGCCCCTGTATATATTTTTATCGTGATTAGTACATTTTTAATTATATTTATAATGTATATGTATGTAATGTGTATAATATTTTTATAAACATCGGTTTATTAAATTTAATAATAAACATTAAACATTTTTGTCTAGCTCCACCCGCAGCTTCACCTGGTTGGAACCTTGATGGAATATCCTCTGGTCCAGTTCATTGGGTTCATGCTAGTAATGGACAAATTCCACCAAATGCTTTACCTGGTGGTTTTGATGCTTCCAACGAACAACTATATGTAGCCAGGGCAGAACATAATGGGGCTCTGATTCCTGGTAAACTAGTTCCTTCACACGGTGTTGTCTATGTACCTTGGGGTGGTGTTGAAAATCCTAAAGAAAACTATGAAGTTAGAAGATATTATTCGTTTTTAATCAGTTCATATTTTAGACACTTTCTAACATTTTATTTGATTTAGGTACTTTGCAACTGTAATGGTACATGGGTAAAAGCCAACAATGGAGAAATCCCAGTAGGAGCATTATCATCAGGTCATACTGAAGATGGTGAACCATTGTTTGTTGGACGTGGTGAATTAAATGGTTCTTTAACTGTTGGAAAGGTAAATACAAAATATTAAGGTCACATTTAATTGATTTATACATAGCTAAAATATGAGAGATTGGTTAATAAACAGGGTTTTTTGAATGTTATTACAATATAAAATATGTTTAACTAATTTCATAGATAAATATTCCAAAATTGTTCATTAAAATTTAATAATACTTTAATTTTAAATCTTTAATCTTCATAAAAAAAAAAAAATAATAATAATAACATTAATTATTTGATAAATTACCAAACATTTTAGCCTAGCCATAATTTTATAATTTTGTTTTTGTTGGTTCTATTATATTTATTTACTATAATTCTAAAGCATTTGTAATAATAATATAATATTACCATGCTATAGAGTAAGTTTTCAGTAATTTTTTTTTATGTAAAAATAATACGTAAATATGGTTATCTAAAAAAATTGAACTAAAAATACATTATAAATTTACAAAATTGAAATGTGTCCACAATAGCACTATATTTTTATTTAATTAGAAAGTTGCCTCACACATAACCAAGTAAACAAAAAATAAAAATAGTAAAATAATCTGTTATAACTTATATTTGTATTTGATGTTTATTGATTATATTTATACCTTTTTTAGTAATTAAGTTTAAACGAACTTTTTCATTTTATAAATTTTATGTTTATATATAAATTGTTTTTTTTTTTTTTTTTTGATTATTTAAACAATTTAATTAACTAAATAGATAAGTGAAATATTATATTATTTTTTCTTATCTGAGAACTAAATTCCAAAGTGTTACCTACATGATTAGTGATTTTACTACTTATACATCAATGTACCATGGGCACAGTAGGTATACAAGTAATTTTTTTTTTACTTAGATAAGTGTAATAATTTTTTTAATATTTAGTACAATAGCATGTCAATGATCTAGATTAATTGTATAAAACTAAATGTAATTTTAATTGATTAATATTAATATCTCAGATTATTGACATTCTACTGTACCTAATAATTTCTTCCTTTTATAATAACATTGATTAAAAATAATGTCATTGATAACATCTTACTAATATTCTAACAAAGTATATATTTTATTGCTAGTAATAATAAGAAAAATAATATCATGTAAACATATAAGTGGAAAATGTATTTAACTTCTTACTTTTTTATGTAAAAATGGTAATATACATATACTATGTAGTTTTACTTTACTTCATATTTTAATTGTATTTAATAATAAATATAATTAAAATCAATTATTAACACTACAATTTTAGTTGGTAATTTAGTATATTTTCCACTATATGTATATAAATTGTAAGTTTTACTAATTATCCATAAACTATTATGAGTCTCTATTAAATTGTATATAATATTTCTAGGAAAATCAGAAAACAAATAAAATAATGGATGAGAACATTCAATGTTCACTCAGTGTGGTTATTTCTTCCTTAGAAAAAGGAATAATTGAATCAGTGAAGAGCTCATTAAAGAAAGAAAATGATGACTTTGATGTTTTTGGCGCTTATATAGCTACAGAAGTGAGAAACTTGAAAACAACTGAAGCACAGATCAAATTAAAAGGAGAAATACGAGATTGTATATCTAGAATCGTTCTTGAAGATTTTATGGCCATAAATAATGAAAACCGTTTAAATTCTGGTTTAAAAGTGGATACAGATTCTCAAGATAAAAAAAAGGGACAATTAAGACTTATTAATTTTTGATTCTTGTTTAATACTATATTCACATTATCTTCATATATTTCTTTACAAATTTTTGTAGTATTATCTTAAATAAATATATTTTATTTTCCTAGTTTAAACTATATTCTCCGTGTTAAATCAATTTGTTGTTAAATTAATATGACTTGTTATCAAGCCTGCATATAACCAATATTAGATGTGGATTATCAATGACAATATGTAATACATCACTTTCTATGATATTCACTCTTATTACTATTTTTAATTGGACAAAAATATTTTTAAATGTTATAAATTATATAAAAAGACATGTTTACTATCAACTAATATTAAAATATATATATTATAAAAAAACTTTTACCTCTATCACAAGCTTTTGTTTATAGGTGGTAAACAAACTTGGGGCGCTAATTTTTATTGATTATAACTTAAACATCATAAACCATTACAATCATTGGCCACTTCAAAACTATGTATTTTGAATAAATACATTAGAACCTTCCCTAAAATTAGTTTCTAATTTAATTTTAAATATTTTTCTTTGAGCATTGTTTATCAATTCTGTATTTAAATAATTCATAGTTCAATACTTACCTTTTTTTTTAGCCCATTAAATTTAAATATATTTTTATCTAATATATTTAACTACAGATGCTATAAAAAATATATATTAATAAGGAATAAACGCTATAACCACAGAGTATTCTGTGATATAACCCTACAGTTATATTTTGTTATTATTATAAATATAATTGTATACCTACTGATATTCAAATAAACATCTTATTAAACTTTAAAAAGTATTTTTTTTTTTTTAATGGCTCATTGATTTAAATATCCATTTTAGAGTAATCTTATTTTTATATATTTTAAATTAAGTATATTTTGAAAGTTATTTTTTATAATATTGATAATATCTTTTATTAATAACTTATTAGTTCATTCATAAATACTTATCCATTTAGCTATGTAAATAATTCAAACTTTTAATATGCATTTTTTATTGTTATAGGTTCAACCTAGTCACAGTGTTTGTTATGTACCGTTCGGTGGTGAAGAAGTACCTCTGAATGATTATGAAGTGTTGGTATCAATATAAACCTATCAAAATTAACCAAAGATGAAAGAAGTATTAAACATTTTAAAAATGGCATGTCGAATTTATTGAAATCTAAGAATTTTTTTAACGCTTTATTTATACTTACATTATTTATAATTTTTTGAAAAAATTAAATCTATCACGGCATTAACATTATGTCTTAATTATTTTTATTTCATACAACCAATGAATAAAATATCCAGAGCGATTATTTTTATCGACCAACTAGTTGTGGTGGCTCGCGCTTGGACTTCCTTACCACCTTTGAATTGTATAAAAAAAATGATTTAATCTCAAATATATTTTGATAACACACGTGATGTGGTATGTGCTTGGCATTCTGATCAATACCACAAATATTTTTCGAAAATACGTGTAAAGTATTTACTAATAAATTCAATATAAAATAAAGGAGGAATTGAATGAAAACATTTGAACACAAAAATCTGTACTGAAAACGTAATAATATTATATTCAAATTTCAGTTATATCTTGAATATTATGTAAGTGTTACCCGAATCCTACTCTTACGGGCCACAACAGTCAACAACCATTCAGCCACCAATTTAATCCCATTTTGACACCTGTTATTTATTTCTTAAATAAAATCCATATGGTTTTTATTATTTTTAAAATTACAATATTGTCAATATGAAGTTATAGAACTCGATCAATTTTTACAATAGTACAATGAAACTTCCATTTGACATTTTTTTTTAACGAATTATGCTTGAGAACCATGACCTTCATTGGCTTCATTGTTAACCATGCGTAAATATATCTATGTGTGACGAATTCGATGTTTTTAAAAAACGAATAAACTATTCGACAACTAACTTGTTTTTGTACATTTTTGTTACTGTCAAATACCAAAAAAATATTTGTATCCGATAAAGAAAATACGTTAGTAGGTAAGCCAGTTAATTTTACTAGAGTGCTGCGTACTTTTTTACGAAAAAAGTAAAATTTATAAAAGTAATAAGTAAACATAATTCACTAATTATTTCTTTTAAATTAAAATTAATATGCGTATGTGTAATATGATCTTTGATGTTTATTTTTTATACATTATAGAATATGAAATATATAATTCTATTAAACAAATTTCTTTATGAAACAATTTTTTTTTGTTTCCCATGAGACTTAGTTGTATGGAAGTTTCACTGTAATACTTATAACATCGTGAATAATGTTCATAGTAAAAACCTCGATTAATCCTCTTAAACGGGACCTAAAAAAAAAAAAAAATATATTTTTATATTTATAATTATTATATCTATATTAATTTTAATATTATAGATTTATAAGTATTTGTGTAAATGATGATGATAAAATAAAATAGTTTGAAACAATTAGTTATTTTAGTACCTATGTTAATATTAAACTAAACCCAAGCTTTTTTCATATAGATAAGTTTTTATTTTAATTTACGCTTACAAAGTTACAACTATATCATATTATTTTCAAACAAATTGAACTTCAATCTATAATACCGATATAATAGTTAGCGGAGCATCTCTATAGTAGTCTAGTTTCAACATTCAGGTAACACCCTTTAAAAACCGTGGCGATTACCGTTATAGGCATAGCAGATGATAAATTGCGACACCACAAGAAGTATAGGTAACATAATCTCGAAAAAATATGACTTCCGAAACATAACGATCAGATTATCAGAGATACGTATGTCGTATATGCCTTGTAGGCTGCATGTATTATGATTTTTCTTTAAATTTGAGCATTATTAAAATATATCACATGACATTTTTAGTAACTTATTTTTCACTTTTTTTAACCATAATAACTGATTCCAAGTATCGACCACTCTTAAAAGACTTACATGTTAACAAAATTAAATAAAATAAAATTAAACGAACGTACATAATCTGAAACATATAAAACAATCATAAAAAATGTTTTATTTATACAAATAATTACATAAACAACAGAAAAATAAAAATAAATAATAAAATACAATGGAAACAGTGTTAAAATACGATAATTACATATTTACAATTTCATAATTACAACGATAATTTCTTTTCATCACTTGCCCTACGTATATAATGATAATGTTAAGTAAATAGAATAAAAATAGATTAAAAATATAGTACCTCGATAATAAATGTTAACTATTTACCGAGTATATGTTACAAATATTTTTTTCGTTTCTCTTAGTATTTACACAAAGAACATGAATTCAAGTGGCCAACGATCATAAAGATAATAAATAATATGATACAAAAATATTAACACATTCTTATATTTGCACATTTGCACTCCTATAAATTCTTACTGATAACTATTTAAATAGGTAATAGTTTTTGATCATTTTTATTTCAACTAATTATTTTTGCATTCATCAACATAACTTATTCAACTGTCAACGTTACCTCAAGATAATAATAAGAAATTATTATTATAAGTTATAACTTATTATAACTATACAAATTAAAAAGAATATTTTTAATGACGGGATTCTATTTGTTTAGATCGTTCTTTCGGACGAAGAGATTTTCCCTGAAAATAAAAATCCTGTTATTAATATATCTGTTGAAATTTTAATTTATTTTCTAGGTTTAGTAATCGTAACGAATATCTGCAGTTGATTGTTTGCATCTATCGGTAAAACAAATCTATACTTAATGACAGTAGGTATGTCAAAAAACCATTTTGTTCGACCCCCACACTTAACACAGGAAATGCGCACATTCGCCATTCAGTAGAATCAAATTTCTTACGTTTAACCTTAAATTTAAAATAAATTGATCTATTTTAAAATTTAATGTTGAAAATATTATTTAGAACACCTCGTAGGCTATTATTAACGTTTTAATAATTATATTACATGTAACGTGACGGTGACACGCGTGAAGGGAAATAGCGTGCAGGTGCTGATCCATTAAAACAGTAAATAAATAATAGTTATATTATATGAAAATAATTTTGTTTTCTGGTTTGAATTGAAAAAAACATAGTATATAGCTATAGAAGTTATTAATACATCGACGTACATGGAAACAATTCGCTATGCAGCGCGTGTTTATAAAATTTACGATTTATCTAAACAAAGTTATAGTTTGACAGTTGCCGAGCTATTATAATAAAATTATATTATCCACTGTGAAAACGAAACGCCGATTGATGAGTTTTATTGTTGGGTTTTCGATTGCTGTTGTAGTGATGTCCGTAGTCCTATTCGGCTGGAGCTCGAGCAACAGTATTGTGGGATACTGCAGTGATACTTTAAAAAATGTCATTTCGATAGTACGACGTGACAGATTCGGTGCAGAGGTACGGCAAACAATTAATATTACCAGTTTAAAGCGTATAACATCGTATCACGTGCGATGCAATTCGAACGTTAGTGTAATATTTTACTTGTTTTTATATTTCAGAGAAATACGAACGGGGGGGTGACTTCCAACACTAGCGTCCGACGGCCAATAATACGATATGTGATACCAGCGGGCGATGTTGCGAACTTGATGGAACAATTTCATAAAATTAACGAACATTACGTGGTTATGGAAAATAGAATTGCGGCTTTGGAGGGTAATTATTTTGTACGATTCGGTCGTGTCGTGATGTATTAGGTTTCAATATTGTAAAATAATTTATAATATTCTCGTTATCGATTTAATGTATAGAAATGAGGGAACGCCAAGAACGAAGACGTTTGTTTGGAAATCAACAAGTATTGAACGAGATACGTTTTAACATTTCTGATCTCAATGATCTCATAGTGAATAATACATTATACGAGTATATAATCGAAGTTTCAAATATTTTTTTTTTTATTTTTCTGTTTTCTAGATGCCCGGTGAACACTTGTTTAACGTGGATGACTGATTACACTCGAATTTTAAACATTTATTCATATTTATTTTTTTTTCTATTTAATACTTTTAAAAACTAGTGTTTTTTTAATAAATAATTAAATGCGAAAAATTTGACTGATTGTCGATCCATGGGCCAATTGTTTATAAGAAATTACATCAAAACTTTTCATGAGTCATAACTTCAAAATTTCACTATGGTTTGAACTAATAGATCACCGCAGTTGAGGGTGCAGTGAGGACTGTGATTTAGTATATCGATTTGAATAAATGCTGTTTTTATAAGTTAATAAATACATTTTAAAGAATTTCTTACATAACTTTGAATGTCTATAATATTGACAATATCGTTGTTCGTTTTGCTTAATTGCTTTTATTACCTATAAGTCTTATATCATTTCGAGATATTATATTGTTTTTCCTCGACCGTCGTATTCATTATACTTTTACTATCTTTAGACTATTATTCTATTATAGTAGGTATAACCTGCTGCTTATTTTTTTTTTCATCAAATATATTTATTTTTTTTTTAATTAGTCTTGGCACACTTTTTCTGCTATTAAAACTTTTTATAAGGCATTAGATGATGTAATCAAATACCCACATAAGAAGATGCATTTTTACGTAGTTGGTACTTTGAGAAGGCAGGTGGTACGGTTTTGAAAAAGTTATTTTCAATAGATTAATAAGCTTCAACAAATTATCAAACCATTTTGGGTATCTACACTAAACTTTGATGTGACATTAAACAGTGTAGTTTTTTTTTAATCAAATTAATATATTATTATCGAGATTTAGTAATAAGTGAACCGTTCTTTAATTAAATTATTATTTTCGTATTTTTAAATTATTCAAATTAAATAGTTATAATTACAACCAAAATTTGTATGCAACAAATATTTAAAGAAATAGTATTATAGAAATAAAAAAAATTATTAAAATAAATTATAACCGAACTATTTCCCTTAATATTATTATTTAGCATTAATAAATTATGTTATCTTGCTGATATAAATAAAAAATAACGATAAAAACATAACATTTATTTTAGAATGAATACCAACACGAAATTAGAAAATGTAATTTTACCCTGAAAATTTAAACCCCGTGAAAAAATTAAAAATAACGTGTATAAAATACAAAATAGACAAATAATCAATATTTTTTAACATGACGCACAATAGTATCTAAACTGATATATAAATATATATATATAATAACTACAGACATAATGGATAAGAGATATACATCTAACTTTATCTATTCAATGTTATGATATTCTAAGTATAAAAATATTAACCTTATTCATTATGAACTATTGTGTGTTCCGATTTAAGATCGTGGTAGGTATATATAGCCTTTGAGGTCTAATTACTTTCTACAGCTTAGGCTGTCTTAAATCCACGATTTAAGGAGTAGGTATAGGTACCTATCAACTATCTGCAGTCTATTTATTTTTTTGATATTTATTTACTGTGAGCGGGTTAATACTTTTTGATAAATGATAAGTAATAATTAGGGCTGAGGACTTCTAGTTTTTTCATATTTTTTTTAGAAAGATAGTAAAAAATATATTGTATAACATCAAGAGATCAAATTTAAAATTTTATTTTGCATATTTTTGCATATTTTGTAATTATTCTATATAAATACGTATTTTAGTAGGTACATTAGAAACATTAAGAACATATTTGGCAATTTTCAAAATAAGTTCTTAAATTAGCTTAGACAAAAAGAACAAATTGATCAAATTTCCATTTAAAAATAATATTTTTATTATCGATTAGGTAATATTTTACTAACTGGCCGATAAAATCGATAAGACCGAAATTATTCGTACAGATAATCATTAGTGAACTTCAGTTGTCCGTCATATTTTTATTTCAAAATGAAATAGATGAAAACGAAGAAAGAAAACAAAAAGATCAAGACGACGAAAAATTTAATTTCAAGTAGGTACCTATTTATTAATAAACTAATTATAATGTAATTTTTAATAATTTTTTTTTTTTTTATATGTAAATATTATAATTGACTATATAATAAAATAAAATAATTTTTAGAGCATATTTTAACTGCACATTTCTTGATTTTTAAGTGCATAAGTGTATGTATATTTTTAAATTTTTTAAATACTTGAAGTATTCAGCCCTAGTAATAATGCAGTGAACATCTTACGTCAATAAAGTATCATAAATATAAACCATAAAACTAAAATAAAGAAAAACGATATTGAGAATATGAAAACAAGTTAATAGTAATAAGTGACATTGACTATATGTAAATAAAATACATACACAATAAAAACGAAAATAATAATTTATAAACATTTCCAATAAAAATGTTAGTATAGACTTACTCAATGACCAATGTTGGAACATACATTTTATTGAAACATATTAATACAGATATTTTAATGCAAGTGTATTATTAATTATAATAAAATATGTACCTACTAGGAAGAATATCAGTCTAAAAAACAGATTTTATTTTAATTTTCAAAATACAATTTTGTAAAATTTTATACATGGGGATTATTTTTTTGCGGTTTAAATACCGTGCAATACACAAGTAAATACTTTGATATAGATTTTAACATTTCAGATATCACATGTTATATTGTATCTATATATACATTATTCATGCGTGCACATGCGTAAATCAGGACCTGTATTATTACCCCTACCAATCCCTATAATGATAATAATATATATTATATATACATATAATTGGTAATACACGTCATTGCCTGTCGTTCGTATAGGTTTTTGTACATACAATTATCGAGATCGGTGATACCCTTATATTATTGTCGAGATACATCCTATACATATCTACTACAACGACGACGGCGACAAAAGACGACCGGGAAGCCGCCTGACTACTCACCACTGACCTTTTCAGTTTTCATCATTATTATATAATAGAAAACACTCGCTGGACCGTGAACGAGACCTCTGCCCGGTCGACCCTCTTTGGATCTTTTCATAGGCGAACTCGGCAGCGGGTAGTTTTGTGTACAATCCCCTCTCGAACCCCACCAACTACCTGAACACCGCCGAATACCGGGAAATATTCCCCGCAAAGACCTCATAAGCTCGACACTGTCATTTATTATTCAATTATTCTCGTTCGGAGACCCGTACAGCGCGCATGAGATCGCATGAATAGCTACTGAACAGTTGCAGACTTACAATAGGTATATACCTATACTGCTTCAGTATAATGTTCATCGGCAGTTCAGGCCGCCGTTCACTACTCAGTGTTGTACGTCCCCAGTCGCTGCCAAGAAAATTCTAATATAATTTAGTCTTACCGATTCCTGCGATGGCTCCGGTTATACACTTTTGGACTTTCAGCGTTGGACATCATTGGTATAATATTTTCGCAATTTTTGTTACAAGATTCTTCACCACGTATAAACGCCAAGGCCATTATGTATGTATATGATGTAGAATGTTGACGCATATGTAATATTTGTTTATTGTTAACCTTTAGTCGTCTTCAGAGAATCCACATGACAGTGACAAGTGCGAATCACCGAGTATAACATGACATTTGTCCGAGGTCCTACCAACGTTCAGGTTGTAGTTTCGCTTAGGTTATCCTGTAGAAATTTATTTGTAATGCACGAGAAGTAATCTCATGGCTCAAAGACGATTATTTTTATTGATTAAAGAACTCTAAAACTTCAAGTACCTAGTCAAGGAAGAGAACATATAAATTCGATCTCGGAGCGCAACTTTGATGTAAGTGTCATGTGTTTTTAAGTTCATTTTTTTTTTGTGTAAAATAATCTTTTTATTTTAATTTAGGAAAAAATAATAGAACAGTATAACGTATAGATCACAATTACCTGGTTAAGTATGTCAAACTAATTGCATGGTACATAATCTAACTAAACGCAACAGAATAAAAATTGAAGTATCAAGAATATGACATTTTAGGAATGGATAATTGAAGAATATTGTTTAGTACATGCTGGGAATATATTATAACATAATACATTGTAAGTGAATGAACAAGAATAATTTTTTTACATAAGAACTAAATAAGATTAATTTATGTCAATTTCTTATTTAATGTATATGTCTAAAAACAACAATCTAACTTTAAATTAATACATAATAAATAGGATTAAAATATTAAAAACTTTAAAAAATTAATCATTTTTTTTCTTTCTTTATAGTTAAGAATTAAAGAATGTTCCTATAAGTATTAAACATATTATTATTTATAACTGAAAATAATTTTAAAACTAAATTTTATTTTATGAATGTAGCTTAAAAATTTAAATTCAATTAAAATTTTATAATTAAAAATAAATAAATAAAGGTATAATGCAATGGAATTGATTAATGTAATTTCTGAGATGCAGATAGTCTAGTTATTTTTCTAAAGGAAATGTTTCACATTTTTTAACAAGTTGAATAATTAGTACCTTTTACCAATAATAATAATTAAATATATATTTTATACATATACATTGTAATTTCTCAATTGTTAAAGAGAAGACAAGTAAAGTAAATATTAAACATTTGTGGCTGCAGTTTGAATAATATTATTTATTTAAATAACTTGAAATTTTGAGTATGATTCATTATTAATCTTTAATAAAACGGGATTTATATATTCATAACTATTTACTTAAAGTATTCAATAATTAATTTTTTACATAAAAAAATGTGTGCAATCATACTCATTAATTATAAAATATAATAGAAAAATCTTATTATAAATTCCTTGATTTATTGGTAATTGGCCATTTATCTATTTTCGAAATGTAATAAAACAATTAAATATAATAGTCATTAATCAATTATTTAATTATCTAATGAAATATTTAAAAAAAATACTATTTATTTTTCTAGATCTGTTCACTGTTAAATTTAATTATGGATTTGTAATCTTTATTCGACAGTTTTAACAAGTAAAACTTTATATAAAGGATCATGTCTCAAAAATACATAATTCTATTTGTCAAATATGTTACTATACTTGATTATTATTATTATTATTATTATTTATTATTTTATACATAATATTTACTTTGAAAAAGTAGTCTTTAACCTATGTATCTGAAAACAGGTAGGTTAGTTATAATTTCTAAGAACAATCAAAATACTGGGATTATTATATAGTTAAACTAAAAAATTATTATTAGTTTATACAGATTTTGTTAATAAGTAATAACATTTCAAAATAATTAAAAATTAAATTAAATTTTTAATAAATATTTATTTTTAAGTTTAAGGTGAATTATAATAATAATACAAATTATATCTGATGATAAAGAAAACAATATTTAAATATTTGTATACTAGAAAATTAAATAAAGGTAATAATTTTATAAAATATCTAACAAAGTAACAGTTTAAATTATTTAAAATTTAATTATTATTGCTCATCAAGATTACTTATGTTTTATTTTATGGTGTCATTCGAGGAACAAGATTATTAGTACTTGCTTAATATATTTAAAGATTTATTATTAAAATAATATTTTTATATGTCTATTACTTATATTTATAACGGTACATTTTATATAAATGATTTTCATATATTTATTATTTTATGTTTTTGAATATATGTATAAACAGTAACCTTAAATGATTAATTAAGAAAAAAATAGTTATAAATTTAAAGTAATAACTTAAGTTAATGAATTTTTCATATAAATGAAAATTAACAGGTTAGCATAACTAATTTAACTTTACTTATTTATTAAAAAAAATTTCAACTGAGTGAGGCCTAATTTATTTTCTCTTAGCCTAGTTAAATTGGGATTTAATTTTGATTGTTGTTAACTTTAAATTCATTAAAATAATTAAAAGTTAATACTATTAAGTATTAATGTTTTGTTTTAAATACAAATAATTTATAATTTAAATAAGAAAAAAATCCATGTAAGGATTGGTGCTATGTTATGATAATAACAAAATAAAAAAAATTTAATATATAATTGTACTATTAAATAACATTAAACTAAATTTTTTTTTACATTCCTCATTACTGTTTTATTTTATGATCAAAATACTTTTATATATTATATTTATATACCTTTTATTGTATAAAAATTATAGATAGATTTTTATAATTTTATAGAAGGCAGTAGTAAAATTTTTAAAGAATACAAATTAATACTATTTGATTAGTTGTTATTATTGTTACTAATTAATTTTTTTATAGAAAGATTTTAAATGGAAATATGAAGAAAGTTGAATAAATGAGCATAATGAATATTCTTCAAAGGAATGTATTTTTGAATTGTGGATCAACTACACCTAAGGTTACCAAAAAAATATTTATCTATAATGCAGGGTATTTAAAACCCGAAAAAAATGTATTCATTAAAATTTGCTTTGGTAGCACTCAGACAAAAATATTATTAACAAAATTTATAAAAATTATTATCAGTTATTTTTTATAAGTCAATTTTTTTTTTTTTTTTTTTGGTAATTTACGAATTAAATATTGCTTTTATTTTATAAACAGTCAATTGTAATATGCACATTGTCATTATAAATAATTAAAAAATTATGGGTAACGAATACCATGATTTATAGATCCACATTTTGGTCATCAATACTTGAATCATCATCATCGTCTGAAATATTTTTTGTAACAGATAAAAATGTCTTAATAATTTTACATTTAGTTTGATTGCATTCGCATGGATTTGGATGTGTCTCTTGTTCAGAGTTCAGCATTTCTAGGTTAATACTGTAATGTCTTGAGTTTGGACTGTTGCGATTGAATTGTACATTGAACATTACAGCATCACCTTCTTCTACTTCTATTTGTGTTGGTAGTACTATGATGGTCTGTTTCCAATGAGTTATTGGAGATGAAGGCGAAGTGCTTAGGGTGGTACCAGTAGTTGGGAATTGTACGTCAAACCAAAAACATATTCCTTGATAAATTCCGCTCTTCTCAACAATAGTTAGATATCGTTGTGCTATAATACTGTCAAGCTGTTGTGATTGACAAACCTTGAGGTCCAATTCTATAATGGGACTGACGTTATGAGCGAGTATATTCTCGACCTGAACACTCATGATTTTTGGTCTATTCAAGTATAAACTACGTAAAGCTTGTGCGAATGATCTCATTTTAACACCACAAACATTATCCCACTCTGAGTAGAGATCTGGCAATGCGCATGGGGACGCGTAGAGCGTACAATGAGACGGAAACATCAGGCCATCTGGTTTTAAGAACTTGTCTCGCGCCACGATGACGCTGTCCAACATGCTCTCATGCAACATGTAAAATCCCATCCATTCAGAAACAATAATGTCCACCTGATAGGGCAGAGTGACGTCCTCCACTTTGCTGTAGACCACCTATAAAACGAAGAGCGATTAGGACAGTTTATAGTATTATAATAACGCGCCTAGAAGCGCAGTCATTTGTCATTACTCGTAATTATTATCATAATTTAAAGTATGTACACACTTCAATGGTGTCTGAAAAATGGTTCTCGGCCACTAGCTGTCGGGCAATCTCGGCCGTCTTGCTGGCTTCGACCGCAAATACTTTAGTCGCTCCTGCCTGTGCGCAGAATATAGACAGTATCCCTGTGCCCGCTCCCACGTCCAACACGATTTTACCCTCGAATACCGAGCGGCTAGATAGGATAGCATTTTTGTACGTCTCGGTCCTGGCCGAGTCTTGTATCATTAATTTGTGGACCTGAAACGTACACAATATTCACTGAGAACGTTCAACAATCCACGCGGGAAATCGGTGGTGGTTTGGATTTACCTCCAGATCACCATAGCTCGAAAAATAAGCGTCCGCATCGGGACCGGTATCGCTCATGGTAAAATCGTTGTTTGAAAATCTGCGCGCGTGATATTTATAACCTGCAAAATTTGGTAATCGTGTTAAGGTAATCAGGTATTCTTATCTCAGTCGTGTGGTGGGTGTCCGCAGCGCTATCAGTAATCACAGCGATTGCGATATATCGTGATAACGAATACGGATAGAAAATTTTAGCTACAAGTATTAGACGTTTTTTTTTTGTTCATTATTCGCGACCTTTTCTCATAGTCAAGCGTATAAGACAATAAAAAGAAAGTCGACCGATACGATATGGCTTTCAATTTATTCAATCGGTCCGCAAGTAAAGTGATTAGAAATGCAGTCGTGCCGTCGTCTACGTCGTAAGTATTACCTGTATATGTGCCATACACTCTCGACTGAAATAAGTATTTCTATAACGTTTCGTGTTGCTTATCGAGATCTATATAGAATTATGCGTTTGTAAAGGGCCACAAGAGGGCTGTTCACTGGTGCTGTTCGATCGGCCAAAGAAGACAAGGGATTAGAACAAGTTTACGCCAAAAAAGAATCACTTTTACTGGATACTAATAATGTCATTGGAAAGGCGGCCAACATGAGTGTTCAGAATTACATCGAGGTCGATAACAAAGTATGTTTCTCAAAGTTCTACTAAAACTTGTAGAATTTAAAATCGAAACATGAATATTAATTTATCACCGACTTTTTCATTCATCAAATGATGTAATATATTTGAATTTTCTTGTACTTATTAAAGAACAACAATAAAAATATTATCTTAAGGTAGGATTACATTGGTTTGTCACCGATCGATCTAGTGTCAGTGTATCGGCCTACCAAATTTTATGATTTCTAACGTTTGATTACAGCTACTGTAAGGTTTAATAATTCAGTCCAATTTTATTTTCTACTAATAATGTTTGTACTAATTTAGTAATGTTATGAAAAAAAATAAAATTATAACCAAACACTCAAGTTCGGCCTCCCATATTTTTACCCACTAAGATTTTCTTAGCAGCTCACTGTTCCAATCTAAGTCTGGGCTGATCCACAAATACTTTCTTTAATATTTATCTACGTAACTTAAATAACATAATTAACATATGATGTACCTACTGATGTAGAACTAGTATAATACTGGTTATAGAAACTAAATACATTTATAATCTTACATAATTGATGAATTTATTCATAAGTCAGATCCTTACTGATATGCATTTAAAATGCCTATTATATTAATTATTCTAACCATTTTGAATTTACCTTTAGTTAAATATTGCTTATGGCTAATCACTAAATTTTGTTTAATAGATGTTTAAAATGTTGAAGGGATTATATTACATTGTTGGTTAAAATATATATGTATGGACATTCTATAATGTAGTTAAAATAAAATACATATTTATCAATAGTTTTAATATTGGTAGCATATAACCGCAATAATAAAATGCTGTATTAATACCCAACAATAATTTAAGATCATTAATCTTATTAAAAATAAAAATTTATAGAGAAATATAATTTTTAACTCGTATTAGAAAAATTAGAAACACATATTTTAAAATAATATAGTTAGTTTTATTTCATATATTTATAATTTTTTAAAAATTTGATTTATAAATGTTGACTTATATACTATAAAATATAAAAATTAATGTTTATCTTAACTTGAGGTGGATTTATAACTTTGTTTTTCAACCCATATAGGGTGGTCTATACATGAATTTAGTTTCAGCTAATAGAAATTGAATATGTTTTTTGTTTATTTATAGAGTTGCTATTGAGTAATATAATAAAGTAGTTATTTATGATAGGATATCATTTTTTATTTTTTAAATTGCATTTTAGTATTTTATAATTTAAGTTAATAGGTGTCAATAGTCATATAAATGTCTATATTAATTTAAAATAAAATAACAGTTATTATATTTATGTGGCAAAGTGCATGGTTAATATTTATATATCAAAATAATACTCTATTGATTTTGACAAAAAAACAATTAAAAATAGCAGAAATAAAATAAAATATTATTTGAGATTCCAAACAGGTTATACGAGTATTAGAATTGAAACCACAGATAACTGCTGTTATGTATACAATTATAAAAGGCAACGTTAGGCTGAGACTTGAAAAACAAAAAAAAAAAGGTTTACCCTCAATTAATAATATTAAAACTATAACTGCATATTTGTTTATTTCTGCTTGCAATTGGTAAGAAATAAGTTACTTATTACTATCCGCTGCAAGTGGGCATCTAAGTTTTATTTATTCCTGGGCCAATACAGAATAATGCTTGGTAAGAAAACAGTTAATATATTATAAGATTATTTAAGTGCAATATTAAAAACTAAAATATAAAACATAAAATTTGTTTTAAAAGTTGTGTATTGTGTACTTACTCAGGATACCTGTGCTGCTTTACCTTCTACTAAGCAAGTTGACAAAACTATATTATTATGATGGCTAGTGCATAATGATTTTGGAAAGACCAATAACAGGTTTTCTAATCTTTATTATCTTAATAAGATTTTTTGTTGACAACATTCATGTTAACCTAAATCATAGGGGCACCCTCAGCATTGTGTTAGTGTTGGATCCTTTTAAACTAATTAATGTCTTATAATATAATATAATTGATATGTACAGAATGTAATTTAAGATCAAGTATAAACATAAAATGTAATTTAATTCTACCAATGACCATAGTTATCCAGGCTTAATCTAATAATAATAATAATAAAAAAAAAAAAAAATAGTAATATTCTTTTATAAATTTTACTAATATAATAATATATACTTATTGTGATAAAGATTTAATTAATATTAATTTGCCATAAATCAAAAAGATACCTTTTATGAAACATCAAGAATATAATAATGTAAGTTTTGTGGAAATTCAATATATTATTTTTGTTTATTATTACACGAATTAAAATTTCCATATAATAATCATCATTTATTATTAATTGCTATTAAATATGCAATTAATTATCAACATTATTGTTATTATTAGTTATTTTATATTTAATTGTATTATATAAGATACTAACCTAAAACTGTTAGATACCTTACAAAATGCACATGGCACATTTTTATAAAAATTGTACATTTAATATACATTGCGACCTATGACCTAAACAGTAAAGGCCTTAAATTAATAATAAAAAAAAATTGTACATTTCGCCATTAATTCTTAAAATATTGTTAAATTTTTATTCTATTTTAAATCAAATTATATTCATTAAATTTCACTTAATAAATTTTTCTTATCTTGCTGGTAATTATATCAGTGAATTTTGGGTATTTTGAATATTATAGTATTTGTAATCATAGTTAAAACAAATATATTTTTACTTGGTTGTATTAAATGTTTTTATTTTTCTAAAACATTTTTAAATGCACTTTTTTTTTTAGTTATAACTTAGATAATTAAATTTCTTTGAGGTGGGGTTAAAATTACTGTAAAAGTGAGTTAAATTCATGCTAAATACTACTATAATTAATATTATAATTGTCATTGAATTTATAATCAGTAACTAAAAGTTTTATAAAAGGTCAGGTAATTTATAGCTCAGAATGTAAGTTTGTTTTAAACCCAGTTGCATTCCTAAATCTATATAAGTATCAATAAGTATTGTTTAAATAATTTAATTACTAGAATATGAGTAATATTAATCATATATTATATTTCCTATTATTATAATTCCACCAAAATAATCATAAATAAAAAATACTGCTATTAATAATATATTTTGAAAAATATAATAATAATTTTCTCAGGTTAAAATATAGAATTTTTAAATATATTTCTTATTAACTAACTCTTAAATAAAATTATAATTTAAGTAAATAATTATTGTAACATTAAAAAAAAAACAACAATTAAATGCAAATATACAATGCTTCTATTATAATTGAAATAAATAATAATTTTAGTAATTTCAATTAAATTGATTTAAAAATATTATGTTATACTGCAGATTGTAACTTAAAAAAAAAGAATATGGCTATAAAATGATATAATTATTAATCTTTTATTACTATCTATGTGAATAATTCTTATCCTATTACCTTTAGTATTTTGAATTTACAAATTAACTATTAAGTAACTGCTCAATTTTCATTTTTTGAGAACACAAATTATGTGAAGTTAGTAAAAGTATTTATCTTTATCTTTTGTCTGTGACGTAATATTTGTTTATGTAAATCTTAAGTATTCATAATTTAAATAATTTAATTAAACATGAAATACTACTTCTAATGTAAGATATAAGTATTATATTCTAATTATGCTTAATTATTTAAAAAAATATATTTATTTAATTAATATTTATATTACACTGATTTTGTTGTTAAGTACTATTTGTATTTCAAATTATATAATTTTCTTGTGTCTCAAATAGTTTATATCTACATATTATATGTGTTAAAAATAATTAATTTTTATTATATTTGTAATTTTTTGAATTTTTGAATTATTTAGGTAGATTTGAGTTCTGTTACCGGTGTACCCGAAGAACATGTTAAAACTCGTCTAGTAAAAATCAGTAAAGCTACAAAAAATGTTATGCAATCTGGTACTGACAACACTCATAATTGGGTGATGGAATTTGATAACAGAGAGCGTTGGGAAAATCCATTAATGGGTTGGACATCAACGTATGTACATCTTTTTTATTATATTATTAGTATATAATCATAATAAGATGGATTATATTTTCAGTGGTGATCCTTTGTCAAACATGAAGATTGAATTTGTTAAAAAAGCTGATGCCATCAACTTTTGTGAGAAAAATGGATGGAAATGGTACTTAGAAGCAGAGTCCAAGACCAAACCCATAAGATCAAAGTCTTATGCTAACAACTTCTCATGGAATAAACGTACAAGAACTTCTACCAAGTAAACATACACAGTATTTGTGTAATAATAGTTAAAGCGATGCCTGTAAAAAAAAATATATATATATATATTTAATTTTCAATGTAAAACTCTTACTATAGTGTAAATTAGACACACCGTTTTTTATAGGGTAATAAAATACAATACTCATTTGTTGAAATTTGTTTAAATTTTTTTTGTTTTTTATTTT